GTGAAAGAAGAAAAAAAACTTAAAAGCCTGGTGTGAGAGAATATGTCTTTAACACTACAATATTTGGGAGACTTGAGCAAGAGCATTGTGCGTTCAAGCCAGCCTGGGTTACACAAGACAGAGTCAAAAGTGGGGTGGACAGAGGGAGGGAGGGAGGGAGGGAGGGAAGCAGCAGCTCACAGACTATGTATGGACTTGGTGTCACACATTTGTGGTGATTTATAATTCTTTGCTGTTGTTTCAGAAATTCTTATACTCATGTTGCCAGAACTGCCCCCATGCTGTGTGACATAGTCCCTACACACACTGGCAAGAACAACTTTGTTATTGCTTGGGTTTCTCATTAAGATGGGGAGTTAGCAAACAATGACAACTTAGGTGGAGTCTAAGAAGAAAAGGTTTACCCTTTAAAATTTAACTTGTCATAGGGCACGGTGGTGCAAGTCTTTAGTCTCAGCACTTGGGAGGCAGAGGCAGATGGTGGATCTTTGTGAGATCAAGGTCAGCCTGGTCAACATGGTGAGTTTGAGTTCCAGGCCAGCTGGGGCTACAGGGAGACCCTGTCTCAAAAAGATTTAAAAAAAAATTTTTTTTTTAACTTGTCATTCTTGGAGACACATAAACAGTAAACTCAGCCTTTAAATGAAAAAAAAAATGCTAAAGTTCTCACAAATCATATGAATGAAATTTCATTTTGGAAAATTTGTTTCCACATTGTGAAAGAAAATTTCCATTGAAACTTCCAGAAAAAGAAAAGTTAATTTCTAAAAGCAAAGAAGCCTCCTTCTGTGAGGAGATGACGTTCCAGGCATCGCGCTTGAAATGCATGGGCTTCACACGGAATATGTGTATATGCATTTTGATATCATTTTAGCTATTCAGGGCACACTTAGTTATCAAATTTTATTAAAACCTCATCAAGAAGGAAGTCTCAAACCACTTATTATGCTCCACAGTTATTGTAAACTGAACAACTAAAATGAGCAGAGGTGGTAATGACATTATCTCCTTAACTTAAAGCAGTCCTCTGTGACATGATTCAAAACAGTCTCTTGGTCTGAAATTCATGTAAATTGAATTCGTCTATCATTAGTTATTACTAGTGTAGCTGCATTTTCAAAAAGTTTTATGTAACAATTAGTTCTTAAAATCACTGTATTTTAATTAGACCTGGGACATTATTAAACTAGCTATAAATATGTACCATATTTTATTAGTTATACCCAGATGCCTGAAAATCAACAAAAATACCCTCAGGTCTTTCTCCAAAGAATTCTGCCAATAAAAGGCTTTCATTCAAAGATTGAAGTAGTTGGAAATAACCCGAAATGCTCTTTCCAGTTTCTAACATATAATATCTACATAGAATATTGTACATATTCTTTGAGTATGTAATATAGAGCATATTCAGATTCTAACATATACATTCTCTGGTTATAAGTGATCACTCCTTTTGTGTATACACATATGCATGTGTGCCCCCTACCTCATAATCAGAGAACAGTCATCGGTACTTTAGAGCTTATAAAGCTTAGGAGGGATCATTTTTTCATTTGGCAGGTGTAACTTTAATACACACACACACACACACACACACACACACACACACACACACACCTTAGCAGCAGAGGTTAGATCAACACCTAGATTTAAATTTTAGCTCACAGATGCCTCTACCACATCATAAAAGCATTTTCTTGTCATTACCCCCAACTACCAACATAATTCTATAGAGTAGATATTATTATTAGACCACACTGTATACAGGGAAGGTACCTGGTTAGGTTATTATTCAGTCAAGAAAAAATTCAAACCTACTCTGCTTCCAGAATCCAGAATTCACACTACTACCCATAATCATAAAATCTGATGATCAATTTTCTTTATAAAGAAAACTGCCAAATACAGACACCACCATTCCTTATGAATGACTTCTAGTTCACAACACACCTTCTGTAAAGGAAGTCCTCTTCCTAATCCCAACTCAAGCACCAACTTTTCCCTGAAACTTTCTCAGGTCATTCAACTACAATAAAGCTCCTTCTTCAAACATATGGGGACTGTCCTATTCCTCATACACAAAAATGTGAACTGCCTCTTGTCTAGTCTCCTCATCTTTAGGAATGGAAATCTTGATAAACTGCCATATTTCAGTGGTGAGGTATGATCACCTGGCTAAGTTCTGTAGTAAGATATCAGAAGTATGGTGTTGGAATTCCAGGAATACTATTTTAAAAGAGAGAGACTTAACTTTTAGGGGCCTCTCCCATCCTTTACCCCTACTTTTACCTTACTTACTATTCAGATATTTTGGCTAGAGCCCCAGCAACTTTGAGAAAGGGGGATGGCAGAGCAAAAAGACCCAAGTCTTGTTCTGTGAGAGACCAAGCCTTCTCATTACATTTCAACAGGCATCTTCTAGAGCTTATGTAATAGGGAAACAATTCTTCTTGAGCAAGTCACTATTACTTATGAGGATTTTTCTGTTAAAGAAGCTGATTCCAACTCTGATATAGTTTAGACCTATGTTTCATAAACCAAGTTTTGTTGTAATTATGTTGAAGAACGGGGTGGGAAAAAATAGAATTAACACTTCTTGCACTGGCATAAACCATGTCTAATCACATTTTCATTCCCAAACCCTGCTGATAATTTTTGACTTTAGCAAAGAAAAAGGAAAGGAAATTTAAAACGAGGAAAAGACGCTTCTGCCCCCTGCCATCACTCATACCATTTTATCTTCTATCGCTACCTAAGACTCACTCAGGGTTCAAGGGCAGCAAGAAGTGCCTTCAGTCAGACCTTGGAATTCAGAGTGTGTGCTGCCTGTGCTGTTTATCTGATCATCACATCTCTTAGGTAACATCTTTTGTCTGACTTCTTTTTAAAAAATATTTTATTATTTTTATTTTATGTGTATGAGTGTATTGCCTACATGTATGTGAGTGCACCTGTGTTGTGCAATGCTGCAGAGGTCAGAAGAGCACTTCAGATTCCCCTGGAACTGGAGTTAAGGACAGTTTGTAGCCACCATGTGGGTTCTGGGAATCGAACCCGGGTCCTCTGCAAGAGCAGTCAGTGCTCTTAAGTGCTGAGTCATCTCTCCAGCCTCCTTGTCTGGTTTATTAATATGGTTTTCTTTTTCTATGTGTCATGCCCACAACCTACGGGACCATCCCTGTACTTCTTTGCACCCTCCATTTCTACTTGAAAACTACCTACGTGTGGCAGGGCATCAATACAAACCTTTGATCTATTAGCTGTATTAAGGTAAGAAAATAAAGTGAAGAAAGGAAGCAGAGCAGAATGACGGGGGTAGAGTGGGCACAACATGGAAGGGAAGGAACCGAACAAAAGTGTTGAAGGACTCTTGGCTCAAGTTCTCCCTGCCTGGATGTCACCATGTATCTGGACCTGGCAGAAGAATACATGAGCTGCACCAATGGCCAGCGTTATGCCCAAAGTCCTCTCCAATGAAAAGACAATGGATTTTGCTTTGGTCAGTCACCCAATTACCCCATTCTATTTTCTTAATAAGCAACCATTTTATTTCAAGAGTGTGTATCCCAACTTGAGAAGCCATGCTTCCTAGTGGATGTGCATGATTTCAAACCAGAAAACTCACATTTTACACATAAGATTCTATTAAATGATTGTGACAACCTGGAGAATAATACTTGAAAAAATGAAATGACAACAAGATATTACTAAGTAGGCCCCATATATTCTTCTCTCAGTCTCTGTCTCTCTCATTTTTTTAAGGGAGGGTCTCATTATATATCCCAGGATGGCCTCACATTGAAGTGCTGGGATTACAGACATAAACCACCATGCCAGGCCAAGAGATTGTTTTTAAACAGACTTCCTTACTTTGCTTCTAAACCCAATAAAAATATGGTATTACAAAAATAAACAAAACAACAACAATAACAAAAAACAAAACACAATGTCTTTATAACTGGGATATACTCTAGGCATATCTACATCACTAAAGTTCTTGAAGGCAATGTAGTTTAAAAGTTGGATAGTATTTTTGTGGAATTAACACTGGGTAATGTGTTTAAAAGATTTAGCTACAGTTAAATTCAATACATATCACACAGAAATAAGTGAAAGACTACAATAAGCACACACACTTGGTATTTTGTCTAGATTCAGAAGCCAGTTTCTAGTCCACTGATTTTACTCTCAATTATCTGTAAGTCAGCAAACTACAGATCTATAAATGAGTTTTACACCTAAAATAGTCCAATTTATTTTCATGAGTTTAGCAAATTCTGGTGTACAAACAGCATTATTAAATTAACAGAAAATAGTTTCTTCCTTCATTCTTTCATAATACAAATCAAGTCTTTGTGATAACATTTATTCTAAAAATAATTATTCAAATGCTAAAATAACATACTTGTAATTATATTGGTTCTGCCTGTGAAGGCTTAACTACTTTAGAATCTTTTTATATCTAATTTATATCTCAACCTCTAAAATCGCTATACTTTTGTGCACATTACTTATTAATTATGTCTTCATATTGTTTATCTTTTTCCATAAAAATTTCTCAGAAGTATCCATGACAGTCGGCAGCTTCTTTGACAGGGAGATGAAGAAAATAAATGACATGTCAACTGTAAATTAGCATTCCCTTTCTGACCAGCTGGGCCAGGCTTCCTTCTCAAAATCCTTAGTCCCATGACACAAAATAATAATAATCTAAAAGACCTCATTAAATGATCAATATATTGACATAACCCCTATAAGGAGACACATAGTGTTTTAATTGATTCCTTGAATCCATTAAATGAAATATTAGACCCAAGCTTTCAAAATATGTTCTAAGAGAATATTTGCTTTTTTTTCATTTACTAATTTTCTTCATGCAAAGGTTCCAGAACTTTATATTTAATGAAAGAGTAAGAAAAGTTCAGTTTTTATTACATCTTTCTTACAAAGCAGTATCTTAAGAAAAATTAAAATGGGCAAATTAAACCATGTGTACTCACCAAAAAACTTCCAAAGGCTGAATTAAATATTGCAGCTGCCTATGGAGAAAATAAATAGGGGAAAGTCAATGAAAGGAAACAGGAACAAGAAAGCCAGGATTATCACTCTCCCTTTCCCCACTATTTAAACCTTACATACTGACTCCATAAAGCAAAGTTAGTGACTGCTTTCTAAGACTGCCAGTGGCCTATAGTTTACTATGACAGATAGGCTGCAGCTCATGAATTCATTAATAATGGGTCTCAGACGCAGGCAGAACGGGCTTGCCAGGAGATGCTTCAAACCTGTATGGTGGTCCAATAGAACCATCACCAATAGTAAATCAAAACCTCGTTGTTAGTGATTTTGCTGCTATACCTAGGGTAACCAGAGGCTGATTTATACATGAAGAAAATGTACATTACTAGGATAGGGAGGGGAAAGGAACAGCAAAACAAAAATGTTAATTGCTCCCTACAATGATCTGTCACCACCAGGTGACAGCAGTTACTCCCACACAGCATGCTTTAGCACCACAAACAAGACAAGTTGAGACCAGGAGAGCTACTGTTATACCATTATTTCTAAGGTAGAAACATGCAATTTGGTACTCAAATTCAAAGAAGAAATAATTGACTTGCTCTTATCAAAATATCCTTCAGCTACATGAGAGACACAACACAACTCTCAACTTAAGTCAGTCCCTGCTTTCCAAGAAACTCTATCACAGTCCTGAAGCATCTCAGGTTACTCCAAAAGGGGAAGAATTTGCACAACATCCGATCAGGTGCAAGAAAATAAGAGAGAAAGAAAGAAAAACAAAAAACAAAACTAAAAGGCCAAAGGAAGGTAGAGAAAACCTATTTACATGTCCAGCAGGTCCAGAGCAGGATTACATTAATCGTTATGGACGTTAACAGCCACAAACTGCAGTAAAAAGAGGATGTCAGTTTAGCAAGTTTGAATAAAGTCCAAACCCCAGCTAAGAGCAGAGCGCGCCTTCTGCTCCAGAGCAGGATACAACGGGAATGAATGGGTAATGAGATCTGGCTCCAGAGAGCTTGGCTCTCCTGTGCCACTTCATAATTAATTCAAAGCTTTGATAATTTCATTAGACTTCTCCTTTGCTGGCCCTATCAATAAAAGATGGCACTGGACCCCAGCTCCTCTGTGGCATCAACACAGGCAACAAGCACAGATCAGGGAAATCTTTGCTTCTTGACACGGGCAGTGGCATATGGTGTTCTGTGTTGTACTGGGAGAGGTGGGGGGGCGGTGGTTCAGCCAAATAAAATATTACAGGAGACAACTGTAAACGGTAGCAACATAACATCTTCCTGGAATTCCATTATGGATAATTCCAGGAAAGTGTCATGTGTAGAAAAAATAAAAGGGTATACATCATCAGTGAGAGGTAGTAAGAGCAACAGGGCACATGGCCTTCCTGCCTGCACACACCTACTTCCTTCCTGCCTACACACACCTACTTACTTCCTGCCTACACTCACCTACTTCCTGCCTGTGCACACCTACGTCCCCACCATCTGTGTATCTACACCTTATTTTGTACTTAAAATAGATTTCTCTCTTTTTCTAGAGAAGAAACGAAGGCTTCCTATTGGAGCATTTCCCTTCCAAATTCATTTTCAGTGCCTTTCCTAACCTCATACCAGATAGCAAGTGGGCCTGCCTAACACCTGAAGAAACATGAAGCCACTAGAAGTAGAGGCTCAGAAATCAAAGTTTGAAAAATGACTGTTAGTCCCTAAATGGAGTCACCATACCCCAGTCTCTTCAGTTCTCTTTTGTAACTCAAACATAAGTACTGTTTATGTGGATTGGCTGTGTTCTTGGACCTTCTGACAGGATGGTAGTGCCACAGTGAGATGTCTTACACACTGAAATTCCACAGGCCACCTCCTTCTTGGTTGTTTCCTGACAATGGGGATGGACTTGAACTCTCTCAGTTATACCACCCTCCCAGGCAGTAAACTGACAATTTTTGTGAAATCACTTATTTATGATTTTGGTGTTCTGAAGATTGGGTAAACTCGAACACTGAACCTAGATCTTAGGCTCAACTGTACAGTGGCAGTACATGTGAGAATTGTGATTGCAAAAGTTTCAGAGAGTGATAACAAAAATGTAGAGTTCTTTGTTATATAAAGGACATGCATATCTTCTGCTCTAAGGAGGAACTCCCTGCCCCTTCATCCTAAGCATGTTTATTAGCTGAGTTATGGAAATCAGTGAGATGCCTTGAAATCCCAAAGCCACCTCTCCTACTGAGTTATTTTACGTTTGGCAGAATCCAAGGGTTGGCAGACTCAGGAAACTGGGTTTGATTCCTCATATCATAACTAAGCAAAAGTCTATTTGGCTTTAAGTTTTTTACCATTGTCAATTTATATTCCAACGGGGCTTTCGGGACAAGGAGATGGTAAGTCGTGTATTGTTTACTTTTTGAATCCCTTTGCATCACAAGAAAGGTAAGATTTCAGCTCCTACTCAGCACACTGGTGATGTCTCTGGTTGTGCTCACCAGCTGTAGACAGCTCAGTCTTCGAAGCACATGTCAGTGTACTAGAAAGCTGTAAGATGAACAGCGGGCATTTTTCCTGGAGCACTGAGAGCAATGTGAACATTTGGCTTTGACAACGATAACAACAATAACACAATCCACTATTGTGTTTACAGTTTTTAAAAATCTTTAAAGAAAATGCAAGCTTTATGAACTGAAATCAGTCAGAAGTGAGCAGCCACAGATAATCTGTTCTGAAGAGAGGATCCTCTAGGTTAGCTACATCACCAGGTTCTCTTAGGATGGAAATTTCTTCTTTCCTGCCTTCTGAAACCACACCTGGGAAAGCCCTGTAGTTGTTACCTGTAATACTTCATTTTTTTACTGTTAAGTTGGGATTTGGAGCATTCTCCTGAGGCCCGCTACTAAAGGCTGGGTCTCCAGCCTGTGGTGCCACTAGGAGGCAATGTCACCTTTAGGAAGTGAGATCACTGGGAATGGGGCTCTAGCCTAGTAGTCCCTTCCTGCTTCCCTTTTTAGCTTCAGGTAAAGACACCTCCTCTGCCACATGATGCAGTAATGATGTGTTGGTTGCCACAGGTCCAAAGTAACTGGGACAAGCCACCAGGAGCCTCTGAAACCATGAATCAAACCTTTTCTCATAAGTTGTTTATCTCTGTGACACAAAGCTGACTAATAAAGCTATTTTCCCTTTTGCTAGAACAACTTTAAAACCTATAACCCCCTCTAGAATGTTCCATTACAACAGGAACTTTGTCTTCTCTGTTCAGGGCTACGCACTTAGTGCCGAATAGCACCTGATTCACAGAAAACCTTCCATAAATGTTATAGAATCAAAAACTGAAAGAATGAAGAAACACTTCTTAGACGTGAGCTGCACGACCTACACAAGTTCTCATTGCTCACTCATGAATTCCAACTGCTAAGTATATGTGTAATTGGAATAATCACATCTGAGGGACAATTAGATTGCTGCTAACTAGAAATGCATTCATACTGCAGAGGCTTAATGCGGAGATGAGTGGCTTCCGTCATATACCATCTTTAGATAATAGATTGTGCTTGGTATACCCAATAAGGAATTTTATCGATGTTTCATTATGTAACATGCCTTTATGAAGTTACTTGGTAAAACTGAACTAACTTTATAACCTATCTTAGTCATTTAAAATAAATTTTCTTAAATCCTGAAGACAATTGGGATGGTGAGCTTGAGTCATAAAAGGACTCATTTCCATTGACGAATGAATATGATCAATTTCTAATTTATGGAAAACCTGAAACTCACAACCTCTGTAACTGCAGTGTATTGACCATGTTTTATGCTCTGGGGCTACATAAATGTCTAGTTCATTTTAAAAATGCACTGCAAATATATGAACACTGCTGGTCCTACCCAAGTTTTCTCTTATGATAGTACATCAAAATTTTTCTTAGCGTGGCCCTCTCTGTCCTTCCCTTATAAGCTACTAAACAAAAAATCAAAGCCTAAACCTCCATTGAGTAGGAATGATTCAGTGCAAGTTCATTTTTTGAAGTTTCTGGCTTCGGCTGTTGAATATCCTGACTCCCAATAATCCCACAGGGAAATGCTTGCTAAGATACTAAAAAGGGATATTTATGGTTGTCCTAGAATTCCTAATAATGTTCTAAGGTAAAGAAAATATGCGGCAAGAACCCCGCTATCCACAAGTAAGACACCAGACACATACCGCAGCACTGTGGCAAGGGCTTCCTTCCCCTGTGGCTGTGTAAGTGGAGGCTAGAAATTACAAAGAAGACCAAGTAATGGAAATTCCCTAGCAGTGTTCTGACTTGTTTTCGTTTTCAGGGGAGAAAGCTCATCTGTTCCCCTTCCTCTCAAGTTGGGAATGGGAGTGATTCTTACAAGCAAACCATCAATGGAGGTAAGAGAAATTGCAAAAGAAGTCAGCATTACTTTCGCATGCTGGAGGTTTACTGAAGGGCCATATACTATGCTTGGCTGCCATAGGAGCAGAGGGTATATGCTATGACAGTTCTTAGAAACATCATGGTGTGTGTGATCTTTAGAACGAAGTGGTAAGAACAGGGAAGGTGCATTAAACTAGAAACTTGCTTCCTGACTAGGAACAGCAAAGATGGGGGATGGGGCGATGCTGCTTGGACATTTGGACAAAGTATACTTCAGTACTGTGATAATGCAATATAAATTCCATGTAAGCCAAACAATGCTTCAGAGCCTTGCCTCTGCTTATTTTGACAGACCATACCCAAGAAAAAACTCTGGCAATAGCAGTCCAAACAGATGGTTTAAGGGGAGGAGGAGGATGTGGGAAAGCATTTCAGGTCTATAATCCTTATATTCATATCATCCAATGAAGTGGCTGTAATAACACAATGCTATAAACATTCACTAAAATGAAACAGGTTCTAGACTCACAGTCAGGCAAAGCTGCAGTGGCAAAGCACAGGAGCTGATGTTGCAGGCATGTCCGTGCCGAAAGAAGTCCAGGGTCTGGCTACTGTGGGCTGAGG